CTTTTTATATCACAGAAGTTATCCAATTATTTTCGTCGATCATCAGGTGAAGCGATACTTTTTTCAAGGGACTGTAGGTTACAATTTTTTTGGGTAAATCAATATGTAAGAAAATTGAAAAGCTAAAGACAAATTTGGGTAAATTAATATAGATGGTTTAAAAGGTTACGACTTTTGTAGGGTAACTAGAGTGACGACCACCATTCTTTTGATAAACACTTATCCAGCAATCTCGGCTAATTTTTTTGATTGCCTCCTTTTGCCTTTTTCTTTCCGCATTTTTAATTTTTAATGATTATTAGTGTTGACAAAGATTTTTTTGGAAAACAATTTATTTTTTGACAGATGACAAAACGTGAGTGTTGTTCTTGGTATGATGACGGTTTGGTTCTGAAGACATGTTAATAACTAACCAGAGATACTTTTTTTTATTTTATAAATATTTTATTTGGAATCAAAGCGTGGGCAGGACTCGCTGCGTAATTATAATATCCTTATCAAGATAATAACAAATGAACGATTGGTATTTTGCTTTTCGTAATCAGTAATAATAATAATATTATTATTGTAAATATCTAATAATATTTATGATTTTAAAGGAAAATACCTTTATAATAAAACTTCATGAGCATTGAAATTATCCTGATGCCTTGGTAATTAACTGCCATTCTTTCTTTATTATGTATTAAATTACATATTTTTTTCAAAGGTGTAATAAAAAAAAAGTATAAAAGATATCTCTGACAAAGTAAAAATTACTAAATATTAAAGTTATCCTGATGCCTTGGTAATTAACTGCTCCTCCTTTATTTTATAACGAATTATAAAGTGTAAAAATTTTTGTGTCAATTGAAAACGTGACTTTACACATATGAATTCATTTAAATTATTAAGTTACACAATATAATTTCAAGATCGTCACTATATGACAAACGTGATAAAGAGAGCTCACTAGTTAAAATAATAAAAGTCCCACTTTAATTGTAAATCTTTTGTTTCAGTAGATTAAATGAAGCCACATTCACATTATCGGCTAAACGTAAGAGAATGGCGAGTAGAAGCGAAATATAACTAAATTGATTTACTACCTATTGAAATCTTTGTAATTATAATTTATTGTCATCATAATTATCATATATTTGCTTTAGTGTTATTAATTCTATCATTATTATTGTTTATTGAAAGATGATATAACAGTCAATTCATAATGAACAGACATAAGATTTTTCATTATTAAAAGAAATTTTATCAAATAACAACATAATTACATAGTTGTGTGATTTTTTAATAAAATATTTTTAAATAAATTTTTTTATATACTTAACCAGTTAATTAACCGGTTCCAACCTCTATATTGTATATATAGTAATATCCATGCCATTTTATTTATTTATTTTGCTTTTTTTTGTTTGTTTTTGTTTGTTTTGTTTGTTTTTGTTTGTTTTTAAACGTTCAGAACGTCGAAGAAGAATAGTTGAGTTGATGTGATTATCATCATCACCATCACCACTATCACAATTATCACAATTATCACCATCGCCAATATTTGTCTTTCTATTTTTTGTTGGTCTCTCATTATTTTTGAGTACGAGCCTTTTTTTCTTGGTGTTTGGTTCATCTTCTATGATTTCATCATTAACTTTATCATTATTCCTCTTATTATTATTTTCTTTGGTTACGACTCTTTTTTTATTGAATTTTGATTGTTCATCATCTATTTCATCGTCATCATTATTTAATCTATCGTCCTCTTCTTCATAATTGACTTTGTCATCATCCTTCTTATTTTTTGTTGATATCTTATTATTTTTGATTTTTTTGGTCATAATCCTTTTTTTCTTGACTTTTGATTGTTTATCATAATCGTCTACTATATATTCTTTCATTTTATTCCTTCGATTATTAGGGTTGTTGCTTTTTCGTCCTCTTGTTTGTAATGTTTCGAGTTCTGCTGGTGGTAAAATTAACTTGGGATTGACCGAATAAAGTTTATACTTTAGATATAATTGAAACACTGCTTGTTCTATATATATACATATATTAGAATAAAAAACGTTAATTGCATAATTGTATAATTAATTTATAATAATGATGATGATAATAATAATGATAATACCTTTATCTTTTGCTTCAATCATTAAATCCATATCCATTTCACATGGAGGTAATTTCTATACATAATCATCAATTAATAAATTATTCAATTAGTAATTAATCATTCAATACATAATATACCTTAACACGATCAGAATGCGCTCTTTTTTCCATGATATTTGAAGCTCCAGGTCTTCCCTCGGAATAATGTTGTTTGGGTTTAATTCCTTTGTCAGTCCATGTTTTATTAATTTCTAAATAAATCATCACATCATTTAATAAGATATTTAATTGGGTTTGTTTTTTAAAATATATATTTTACCTGGTATAAGATCAAGTAAATCTTGGTCAGAAAGTGTTCCGGAATTCAAACTATAATAAAAGGTAGAATTAATACATTTACCAATGTGTGATGTATATATGTGATGTATTATTGTTATTAAAAATACCTATGATGATGCCTTATTATTATTATTATTATTATTAGAAAACAACAAAAAATTTATTAATTGACATTTTTACATTCTCCCAATCCTCCAAAAAAATTTTACTGACCAATCCAAAACCAAAGGTATTTTCAATTTTTTACAAATAGGTAACAAATCTTGGACATTATAACAAATTTCATCATTCTCCAACACCAATCGATCTCTAATACTCGGTGACAATACCTTAAGATAATTGTCTTCGAATCTTTTCAATGTCGTCTCCTTACTATTGTAGACCCCTCCCATGTGGATTACCATTATCGAATCTTTTGGTAATCCCATCAAATCCATCATTTCTGCGTGATACGATAAATCATTATACGTTTTACGAACCACCGCGGAGTTCGGACTACCCAATTGATTATATTGACCAGGATGTGTTGTCTATTCATATGATGGTTGGTAATTGAATAATTTATTATTAATTGATGATTGTCAAGTAGCCAATTAATCGATTGGTTAATTAGATAATTAGATACCAGGCGATGTCCATTCTTTTTAGCAAAGTCGCCTACAATACGTAATTCTTTTGCAGCATAATCTAACGAATAACTTTGTCAAAATTAATTAAAAATTTATATATAAATAGATATATTATATATAACATTGTTTGATATGTCATACCCATATTCCTCATGACTAGCAAATGGAAAGATATCTGATGAAATTCGCATGAATTTAATATTATTTTCTAAATTTTTTTAAAAAAATTTAAAATTTATCCAATAATCGTAATGAACTTTAATAATATATAATATATGCACACGCACCTTCATTCCACTAAATTCATTTTTTTTTAAAAAAAATAAATAAGTCAACATCCAATGATAATAAAATTCAATATAGATGGACAAATAGATAATACTATACTTTAACCAATGTACACAAATCAGTAACATTTTGAATTCCTAATTGTTTTACATATTCCATCCCCTTTTGCTTTATCGTTACAATTCTACAAGTTCTCGAACAAAAAATTGGTGGTTTTTGATTCCTTAAATACATATTTAAGCAACTAACCCATTTTTTATTTGTTAGATTAATAATAACAAGATTAGATCATACATATACATATATACGCATTATCAGATAAAAACCTACGCGTATCCAATTCGACCTCGAAATTTTGTTTCGACAACAACATCATCAGTGTTGTTATTATTATCATTTGTTTTTATTTTCTTTTCCATTGTTGCAGTGGCTACAAAAAATATTATTCTTATTCCTTTGTTGAATTATAAATATTACTATTGTTATAATTATTATAATGAATTAATGAAATTTACGTTTACTATTATTAGTTGGAAATTTTAAATCGTTTAATGATAATAGATCAAGAATTCGAATTCGATTATTTAATATTTGTAACTGAATTATTTTTGGACGAAAAAGAAGGGATACCTATTTATTTATATTATTTATTTGAAATAATTTTTTATGATCGATTTTTAAAATTTCAAGATCGAAAAGTATTTAATCAAATATCGATTGTGACATTATCATTATTATTGTTGCATAATTTTAAATTTAAACTGGAATAGTTTACTCTATATTCTTTAGAAATACGCGCGTAAGGATTTTTTTTGTTTGTGCGCACAAAATTTATCATTAATTGATAATCATTAACAATTATTTATTATTCAAACAATGAACCTTATCAATTCAACAATAACCTTGATACTTTCTCCAATTACTTTACGCACTCACTTACTCGTATATGTATATATCTATTGACTAAATTTGCACATTAATGTTATGAATCTGTTAACATCACCCAATCCAAGAACAATTATTATTATCATAAATTTTCTTTAAAGACAAAAATAATAATATAGATACAACAAAAATTCTGAAAATCTTTATTTTATTATAAATTTGTTATGATCCTTTTCCTAATGCACTTTGAAGAGCTTCATACACTTCAATTTCAATTTTAGCCAGATTTTTCTCTTCATCTGTAGCACCTGAATTAACAACACGTTGCGCTTCAGCTAAATTACTTCTTACAGTCTATAATATGTATGCATCTATTAGACTCTTATATATTTTTCAAAAAAAAAATCTCAAGGTCAAATTTCATTACCTCAATTGAAAAATCTTCTAATGGATGAGCTTCTGGAGCATTAATTTCAAGTGTTGAATCAGAATTAATCACAGCAAATCCACCACTACCTAAAAAATAAACATTGATGAGTATTATTTTAATTTTTAGTAAAAAATAAAAAAACAAAAATAAAAAATAAATCTCACTAAAAATTTTTTTTGATGAAGAAGGATTTTCATATATTTCAATTAGACCAGGTTTTAATTGTTCAATTGAGGGAACATGATTTGTTAGTATACCCATATCACCAGAAGTAGATGAAATATTTACTTGATAAACTTCTTCATTCTTGTATAGTGTCTTTATTTTTGGTGGAAAAAAATTTTAATCAATGAACATTTATATATATATATATAAATATACGTATTATACATTATATTAATTATCATATTAGATTACCTGATGAGGTAAAGCAAAACTTAAACGTAATTTATCTGAACTTGTGGACGTTTCTGTTGCATATGAACGAACTAATTATACAACAAATATTAAATATTAATAAATTGTGAGAGGAAAAAAATAATGATCATACAAAATTTTTTCTTTGATTCTATTATTACCAAAAGTATTTTGTCTGGTGTAAAAAGCAATTCTAAATGTCCTAGCAAGAAAACTCATTTTTTTTTTTAAATATTCAAATACTTTTTTTTATTTGCGATTATAATAAAATTTTTTAATGAAAGATGCTTTCGTGTAACTTTGATAATATATTTAAGGAACGTTACATCCGGAAACTATTATTCAAAAGAATACAAATATTTTTTTCACACACAAAATTACAAAAGAAAGGGAAAAAGAAAAAAAAGAAAGAGGAAATAATAATAAATAAACGAATAATAATAAACAAAATGGATATAATAATATAATAATATAATAATAGTTGAACGTTAATCTTCGGTGTGAATCAACTCGTCAAAAATCTACCATTAAACTTAAACAAATCACATACACTCTAAAGGTAAGTTGATCCACACAGAAGATCACGGTACTAAGTATATATAGTAGGATTCTTCAAATATACGTCAATTAAACAATCTAATGGTGGTTGCTTGTGTGGCACCTGGATTAACCAGAAAAAAATTATTTGCCAAGCTTATACGATGAGATTTTTGATGATGAGAAGAAGGATGATTGTAATGAGCATTTTGATGAGGAAGATGAGAATTTGATTCATTTCTAGTCATTGTAATCAATTTAAGTGCGTTGATGGCAGCATCTTTCTTTGCATCTTTTTTATTTCTTGCTTGACCACATCCATAACGTTTACCATTTATAATAACTTCAACTGTAAATATTGAATTATGTTCAGTTCCACCACCACCACCACCACCACCAATTTCACCACAAAACGGTACATAGACAGGTATTCCTAATCCTCTTCTTTGAGACCATGTTTGGAGTTTGTTAATTGGATCCTGCAAATCTGAATGAAGGATATAATCAGAAGATCCCAATATTGAAGAATTATGAATATGACGGTGATCTTCACTGCTACTACTACTACTAATGCTATTGCCATTGTTACCATTATTGGATGATTCGTATTTCAGATGGTTGCAATGAGAAGAACGTGTAAGTTTATCAACGGCTGGTGTCAGCAAAGGTTCCATGAATTCTTGAACGGCATACAAGCTTGAACCAGAATCTAAAAATACGGCACCGATATATGCTTCGAAAGCATCCTCCAATACCTTTTCACTTGCTCTTCCTCCATCCCTTAAAGCTCCTACACCAAGTCTTATCTCACTATCTAATCCAAGTTGAAGTGCAAACTGTGCTAACTTTTTTTTACAAACGAGGTTAGCTCTTAGTAGAGTTAGTTGACCTTCTTTGAAATGAGGAAATCTACCAAACAAATAATTTGCCACAACGAAAGAAACAATCGAGTCACCGAGAAATTCTAATCGTTCGTTATGAGGTCCGTTTGAAGGATTTTCGTAATGAAAAGATTTATGAGTTAAAGCTTCTAAACGTAAATTATCATCCAGAAAATTTCTCTGACTAACCAAATTTTTATTTTCTAAAGTTTCTAAAGGCATTTTTTTTTAAAGAAAGGAAGAATCAAAAAATCAAAAAAAAGAGGTATATCTTATGATTATTATGATTACTATGCTGTTATTTTTATTGTATTTTTTTATTTAAAAAATGAAAAAGAAATTATTATTTAATAATAATAATAATAAATAGTAAGAATAATAATGAATGAATTATTTTTAAAATCGTTTTCAATTTTATTTATTAAAAGTATTGGTTACACGATTTGTTTTATTTTATTGGAATTAATGTCCTAAAAGGGTAAATAGCAACTTATTTACAATTGTTTATCTGTTTATTTTAATATGAAAATAAAATAAAAAAAATTCTTTAATCTTCAATATTAATAATAATAATAACTTCTCCTGCGTAAAAATGTTCCTTTTTGAAAAATCGAAAGAAAATTTCCACAATAATAATAGTAATATATATATATATATATTAGTGAGTAAATAGATAATCAGTTAATTCACTTATTCGTATATTTTCTTTATCTTGTTCTCTCACACTTTTCCCTCTTCTCGGGCTTGATTAAAATTTCCAAATAAACACAACGAATCTCAATATTTATTAAATTGTTGTTTACACAAAATCAATATTAGCAGCTCGATAGTAGTTAATATTGATATTGATTGCAATTACAAAAAAGTAAAATTAAAAAATTTTTCATTACAGCAAATATTAAAGGAAATTTTAATATTGATATACGATAATTATATATAATAAAACGGAATTTTTAAAAATGCATGCAACCGCATTATCTGTTTATTATTATTATTATTATTTACTTCTCGGCTACACATACAGAATTTGAAATAATAATGCATCATTTCTTTCATCGTCTTTTTTTTTGCTCTATTTTTTTTTTTTTTTTTTTTTGCTGTTGCTCGTAAAAATCAAAGAATTATGTATGATTTTAAAAATAATGGAAAAAATTTTCTATTACAAGTTAATTTAATTTTTTTGCTTGTCAATTTACTTAACGAAGGGCTATAACCAACATTTCATTTTTCTTTATCTAGAGAATTGCACCGCGTAATAGCAAGAAAATTTTTTGTCGGAAAATTATAAATTTATTCAAATTAGGAATTGTATTAGTTCGTATTGTATTAATATTCCCTAAATTATAAAATTACTATTATTGTGTCATCGTAACTCATCTATTTCGAAATATTTTTAAAATTGATATAATAAAAACGAAATCCTTAATATTAAACTGCTGTTAAACAGTTCACGAAAGCGAACTTCCAGGTTAGTTGGATGCATTTACTAATTTATTTGTTCTTGCAAAAATCACATTATATGTTATTCTAGGATCATATTACAAATGCTGGAATGAGAACGAAAAAAGCAACTGCTCAAAACTTACCATTAAGTAATTTCTGTGATTTCAATCACAAACTTTATTTCAGGTAAAAATAATGGTTGGTTATTTTTGATGCTGGAGGTTGGAGAAAGTTTGAAATGTCACTATTTGATTGGACATTGTCACGGAAAGGGCGTCGAGCTCCAATTGAAATTTAAAAAAATTTTTGTTCAAACAAACAAATTTGTCAGCTCGGCTCGCCAATTAAGAGAGGAAAAAAACAGGTTTTTATGCGTAAAGATTTAAATATAATTCTACCAGAAGAGGAAGTGGATGTTGACAATTAACTGATAAGCAAACTGTGTACGTGCGATTTCCCATTTGTTGGATGACTATTGTTAATATTAAGTTAGTCTATATTGAAATGTCCGTTGATAAATTAGCAATACATTAAATTAATGCACTCTGTATGCATTAAAGGAAATGAGAGTAACATGGGATAAAATAATTACAATAAATTCTACCAAATCTTCTTTAAGTTTTGGGATCAACTTCATTATTATTTTTTCTAAAAAAAGGTTGAATTTTTAATTGTTAAATGTATAACGAATAACGATAACTAGAAGTAAATGTGAGAGAGCGTGTGTGAGTATGAGAGAAATCATAGGTCGTTATTTCTATATTTCTTTTTCATATATAATTTCTTTTAGTAAAAATTGTTTATTTGTGTTATATTATTTTAATAAACATCATAAAGTAATTTTTTTGTAACAGTTCAATCAACTTACAAATTCGGATGTAATTTATATTTATATAGGGGTTAGTTATGTCATGCTGTTTTGTTTATTTGATTGGACCAATTTGTAAATAATGTTTGGGGCTAAAACTTTTTTATTTCTTTTTTTTTTTTCGTAATAATGAAACCTTTTATTAATTTACAAAATGACTGTGAGTATTATTAAGAGTTGTTTTCTAACAAGCATATATTTATGTGTGTATGTGTGTATATATATATTGGATCATTTTAACATTGAATTTTCTTCAACTTTTTCAGATATTATGCATTCTCCTGAAATAAAGAATCAAATTCAATAAACATCATAAAGTAATTTTTTTGTAACAGTTCAATCAACTTACAAATTCGGATGTAATTTATATTTATATAGGGGTTAGTTATGTCATGCTGTTTTGTTTATTTGATTGGACCAATTTGTAAATAATGTTTGGGGCTAAAACTTTTTTATTTCTTTTTTTTTTTTCGTAATAATGAAACCTTTTATTAATTTACAAAATGACTGTGAGTATTATTAAGAGTTGTTTTCTAACAAGCATATATTTATGTGTGTATGTGTGTATATATATATTGGATCATTTTAACATTGAATTTTCTTCAACTTTTTCAGATATTATGCATTCTCCTGAAATAAAGAATCAAATTCATGACGTTAATCAAACTCCTTCTTCTTCGTTCAACATAACGAAGATGCATGTAAATAACAATAGTGATAACAGTTATCATAATAATAATTATTATAATTATAACACTAGTGATCATAACAACAACAACATCACAGATTTAACAATTAAAAAAAACGTTGAAAATGAATTTTTTAAGGACCATAATGAAAACCCGGCTTTATTAACATTCAATGATAATAATCCTTCAACTATAAATAATCCTACTACAACCGTTAATCCAATAATGTCATTTTCAAAAATTTCCTCTCCATTAAAATTTAGCTATTCACCTAAATCAATATCTGAGAAAGAATCTCATATTCGAAATTATCGGGATGATGATGACGATAAGGAGGAGGAGGAAGAGGATCATGAAGAAAACGATAGTTCTAGTAGAGGTTTCTCGGAAAGTTCAAGTGGATCACATTACTCAGACGAAGAATATGAAACTTGGGCAAAAATTGATAATGAATTATCAACACTTGATCAAGCTTCTCATTCAGAAGAAAATCTTTTTGATCCCATAAATCGTCTCAAAGAATTGATGAATTCTCAAATTCAAATCGACTCATCTAATAATAATAGTGACGACGACGACAACGACGACGACGACGATGATGATGTGGGAAATAAATCTAATCATGAGTTGGATGAATTGGAAATTGCTTCATCTATTCATTCTGAACCTTTACCACTCAATAGTTCAGTTTCATTTAAATTAAATGATTATCACAAAAAAAATATTTATAAAAATGACGATAATAATAAAACTATTTATGAAGATGATGATAACAATAAAATTATTTATGAAGATAATAAACCTATTTATAAAGATGATAGAACTGTTTATAATAATAAAACTGTTTACACAGATGACAATAATAATAAAACTATTTATCCAGACGGTGATGATAATAATAATGAAGAGGGCAGTGATAATGAAGATAATAATCACTCATCATCATCACCACAAATAAAACTACTTGATGATAATTATATTTCAGAAAATAATGAATCATCAAACGATCTGAGAAACAAACACTTGTTAATTACTAAATCGAAAAAGAATGATAATTTATCCGCAAGTGACATCAAGCAAATTAAAACTAGAAATCAAAGAAAGAATGCTTATGGTACAAAAATAATTTTTAATAGAAAAAAATTTTTTTGCAATAAAAATTATTTATATTTATATTGAAATTATTATAGTTGCAAAATTTGAATTGCTTAAACAAGAAGAAACAGGAATATTGCAATGGTTAAGATTAAATATCGGAAAAGAGCCACCAGATATCGTTAAAAGTAACTATTTGTCAAGTTTTAATTTATTTATTTACTCATTAATCATTGACTAATTAATTAATCAATTAATTAAGAAATCAATTAATTTTTATTGTTATTATTTGGAAAATAAAGATTATAAAAAAGGTTCAAATTCGGTCAATGATGATACATCTTTTAAAAATATGGAAAAAAATAAAATTTATTCTAACCCTTCAGCGAAAATTACAAATAGTCAACTATCGTTATCATCATTTTTACCATCATCACCATCATTAATAAGTAATAAAAAAAAATCTGTCGACAATTCACAATCATTATCTAAACCTATTTATTCTCCAAAATCTTCAAAAAATTCTACATCACCAAAAAATTCTCTTGATCACACATTTCAATCAAATTCTATATCATCCCCATCACCAATAACTCCTCCTCGATCAGCACCTCAACAACAACAACGACGTCATCAAGCATCCAAATCAAAATCGCAAATTTTCTTTACAAGTTTGAATAGACATAGCAGCATAAGCAAAGCTCGTTCACCTATACCACCACTTAATATGCCGCCGCCTGTAATGAATGATCCTACCGCTAACGCTAAGACCACTAACCCACCTTTCTCCCCCTCCTCCTCTTCATCTACTAAAAACAACAATAAATTTGCTACTGTAATTTCACCAAAACGTCGTAGGTTTAGTTTTCAAGCAATTACATCTAGACTTAGTGTAGGCTCATCCGCACCTATTTCACCTTTCCCTAAAACAATTGAAGAAAATAATAATAACGATTCATCCAATTCGACTATAGTTGTTGATGAAAAGGCTTTAAATAAATTATGTGATGTGTTGCCAGATGCCGAGAGAGAAGTTTTGGCAAGATATTTAAGAGCAGTAGGCGGAAAAGATGAATTATTGGCTGTGGGACTTTATATGAAAGATTTAAAAAGTAATAACGAAACATAAAATATCATTTATTATTTATTTATTTATTTATATATACTACTATCTTAATATAATGTAAAAATTATTTAAATCATTATTAAATGTTTCTTTTGTAATTTATTAACAACAAACAATTCGAATATAATTGATTATTCATGTAAAAATAAACTGTATTTATTTTTTTTTTAAGAGAGGAGAATAAGGCCCGTATGTTAATGGATGAATAATAAATAAAAAAGATTCTTTATTAGTATAATAAATAATAATTTATAATAATATGTCTGACAAAATAACCACCCAAAATTCATTTAATTATTTCATATTGAGTTAATCTCAATTACTGTCAATATTTTAATATAACTAGATTCAGGATTAAAAACGTTCACTTATTATTGAAAAACGTCTAAGCAAAAGTTCTAGTTTAACGAAATGATTAAGGAAGAAAAATTTGAAAATTGGGTTTATTTATAAGAAATCACGTCACACATAACAAAACGATCAGCCAATTATTGTTGTTATTACATAAAAAAAAATTTTTTTTTTGTCAGAAGAATTACTTTTTTCGTGATTTCCATTCCCATCACCCAATTAAATAAATAATATTTTTATGATAAAGAATATTTAGCGTAGGGTTC